GACCAGGATGAGACGAGGGCAGGATAAGACGAGGGCAGGACACGTCAGCTGGTCTGGTAACACTTGGAGATTCCCACGGATGAGCTGGAGGAAGTATGTGTGGACTGGGAAGTCTGGCCGTCTCTGTTTAGACTGCTGCCGCCAAGACCTGGCAACGGATAAAGCAAAAGAAGGATGGATAGAATTCTTTTAAAAGATGAAAAAGGTCTTCATTAAAGCGATTATTCCGTCATATTTTACATTCTTTGCATTTAATCTTGTCCGTTTGTTCAAACCTCTGTTATCTAAAATGTGTAAGAATGTATTGTATGTATGTAATGTGTTTTCATTTCTAAACACTATCAAAAGTGGAAGCGTTGCCAAAGCTACCCAAATATGATTGATAAAAGTGCAATTTCCACAAAGCTCTTCCTCTGATTTGGCAGAGCTTGAGTTGTTTTGCAAAGTTGTATGTGCAAAACTTTCAGTTGCTGGATGTGCAAAGCTTATGGAGTCATGCTGTAAGAATACATGTGCAAGCCCTAATAAACAAGAGCAGGTATGATTTGCTTTCACTTCTGAATTGTTTGTTTGACCACTTTGTTATGGTCTTAAAAACAGTCCTCAATCAGATTTTTGTTTGTACTTTTGCGACGCACTGTAATAGGCTAGATTTTGGCACTATCTCTAATTGAGACATTTCTGACCAACAATGATTAAAAAGTTGTAACACCCACATAGGTCCTTACCTTATTGTTCACTCAGGAGGGGTGAAATTCTCTATCTTATATTGATTTTTGGATTGTCGTGACTTGTGGGTTCCAACGAGACTCTGTGGATTATCCGGACCGTGGTGCATGCACGGGGCCGTGAGTAGAACCGTGGCTTCACCACTCTTATTTTTTTTTTTTCACATATATCTAGAGCACCACTGTTGGTTGTTTGTGAATGTATTTTGATTTATGATCACGCTCGAGTGTGTGGGGGGGGGATTTTGGTTTTTCATAGTGAGAACTGAATCAGTAATAAATAGCCAGTTTTGGGCCGAATGCATGATTTGCATCTGTGCTTTTTTCACCCCGCTGATGTGACCATCTCCTCTCGCGACCTTTTTAAAGCGTTGTAGCTCTGGTGTGTTGGAAAAGATAGGCAAATTGTTACAAAGTCGTATTTTGTTCAGCGTAAAAATAACTTCAAAGAGTTCAAAAGAGCGTCCGTCTTTTTTTGGTTTGCAAAGAACTCAAATGATTGCAGTATTTGCCATAATACCGATATAGTGATACAATTACCTGAAAAATGGCAATTTCGATGATAATTGTGCAGCCGTAACTAGAACCCTTCGACAGCTGAGATCACCATTTTAGTCCTCGCTCTGTACTCGTTGTCCGACCACCCATCCCTCCGCCGCTGACACGCGATGCCCCCACTTTGATTTGATGCCTCTGTTTTCTCATTACAACTTTCTCCGTCCTCGCCCGAATCAGTTCAGCCGCTGCACGTAAATCACTTACTCGCCAAACAAAAGGCCAAGGGTGCCCGTCCATCTGCTTATATACGCCTCTCATATTCACGTCTGGCTCGGGCTATCCATCACCGCGGAGACCTGGGTGTAAAAAGCCTTGACGTCAGCAGAATATAACCGCGAATAAAGCAGTCCACGTCAGATGTTTGAGTAATAAACTGAGTAAATTTGATGCGTTCGGGGGATGACATTTGCGATAGGGATGTAGTGGTAAGGAAAGCGAATTGGGACATAAAACAAAGTGCAAGGGAAGTGGGTTGAGTCAAGGTTTTTACAACAAACATGGAGTAAGCAAGACGGGCGAGTGATGTCGTGCGACCATAAATTAGCAGTGGCTCATCTTCTCAAGTGGATTTACATTCTATGATTTGTTTTAGCCAGTTATGACAACTCTGAGCAGCAGCATACCTTGTAAAAATGTGTTGCCAATAATAAAAATAAAAGTAATGCATCAGTTTTATTAAGCGCTATTTTGGACACTCAAATGCGCTTCACATGTCATTACACATTCACTCCATACACAGTGGTGATTAACTACTCCTTTAGCCACAGCTGCCCTGGGGCACACTGACAGAAGCAGAAAGCCAGTAAATGCCGTTTTGTCCAGGGACACTACAACAGCTTTGCACTATACTGCCACCACTGCTCCTGTGGCACCTGCTGTTTCCAGAGTTCTCCCATCAAAGTACAAACCAGACCTTGCCCTGCTTAGCTTCAGAGATCTGATGGCATCTGGCTCAATCGATCAGCAATAAACTTTTGAGGTTGGTTTTTGCTTTCTCTCACATTGGATATGTGCGCTGTGGAAAGTTCTATTTGAATGTCAATAATGTCTGTCAATGAGGCAGGTGAGAATACTGTCTCACTATTGGTGATGAGACAAGGAGTGCGGGGGCTTCCATTGTGAAGACCAAGTAGAGAAACGTCATAAAGGACTTGTATCAGCTGGAGAACAGGGAGTTAGCCATGACAGGAGAAGAGACAGACTGTTGGCCCTTATCTCCTAATAACCATGTGGGGAGTTTTTAAGAAACAATGTATTGGGTTCCATTATTTGACAGAAAAATCCCAATGATGAGGTTTCAATTATTTAGATAGTTTAGCTAACAAAATCAAGTATTAATCATACGTTAGCGAGATTTTCATTTAGACTGAATGGGTGGCGGGACAATATTTGAATGGATGGAGCTAAAACAAAAAATAATCTCAAAGCCTTTGTGTTGGGAAATCAACATAAACCATTTTTATTTCAAGCTTATTTACTTCTGTGCGTTTGCTGGCGTTGGCCCCATGCTGTGTGGAATCCAAACATAGCAGCGCAGTTGAAAGCGGCGTACTGCAGAGATATGTCTCACACAGTTTTGTACCTGCACATGGGACGTGTTGCCCAGAGGCTGCCCGGGGCCAGGAGGTGAGCCAGGCACAGCACCAAAGCCACGCACTTAGCCCGTTCTGGATCAACAACACAGCAGCGAGAGCTTCAAAGGCCTGCAGAGAGAGGGCAGAGCCGGCCGCCACATCCCAGAGGAAGAGAGGGGTTCTGGGGAGGGGGAGTAGAATGGACCGGACAACTCTCCAAGGGACTGCTGTACTGTACCATATGTTTAGGATCTGATTTTTAGACTTTACAAAGAGCTTCTTTTTTTTTTACAACTCAGATGAGATTGTTGAAAATCAGCATAACAACTGCATTAATAAGCTATACCAGGGGTCGGCAACCTGCGGCTCTTTAGTGCTCCTCGAGTGGCTCCTGGAGCCTTTTAAAAAATTTCTGAAAATGGAGTGGGAGGGCTATATTTTATTTCTAGTTTGAATGTGGTTTCTGTAGGAGGAAAGACATTCTTAACGTTTTTAAATTCTGTAAAAAGGTATAATTCAAAATTTAATGTATGATATTTTAGCAAAATATGAATAAATTAATTCATCTTCACACAGCCCTCTGAACAGATTGAAATAGACGTTAGTATATCAATGGACACATGAAATATCTATTCCTACATTAACTATCATTATTTGAAAATTGTACTGTTTTTTCCTTATCATACCTTGTCATTTCTCTAAATAAAAAGTCTAGTACAAGAAAATAGTTCAGTAAATACCATAATATGCCATTTTTATAATTCATGTTGTTTTGTGCATACTTGTAGGAGAGTCACTATTTAAAAACATACTCACTGTACCACCCAACTCCAACCTAAATCCATGGTTAGACTTCTCTTCAAAACTCCTGTTCATTTTGTGAAACTTTCCAATGGACATCACCAGGACATGTTTCCATGATAACGGTTGCTACGATGTTCTGTCGAGTTGGTCTGCCCGTCGAGATGATCTGGCTCAGCTGTTAATGATGTAATACATACCAGCGCTGCGCGTCTCACGGCAGCTGAAGCAATCCAAGATGGCGGACATGTAGTCCGCAAATTACTTTAAAGTTAAATACGAACGAATTAAGATAAGATAAGATAAGAATTCCTTTATTCGTCCCACAGTGGGTAAATTTCAAATTAAGACACAAATGTCACTTTTAATGCAATTAGAGGCGAGATGTTGATGGTTCCGCGTTGTGATATGTGTGTTTTTAGAGTAAGAGTTTTGTGTAAAGTTTGTTTTAATCAGTCCACTGATCCTGTGAAACTACACTGCTAGTGTGCCCAAATCTGACTTGCGCATGCGCAGAAACCCGCCAGAATGGGGAAAAAACTTGATCTAATTAAATATTTCGTTTTAACACACTATTGTTAATCATATTGAATACAGTATGATACATGCATAAAATTGAATTTATTATTTCCATTATCAACCCGACACACCAGTCACAGGACGCGTCATGGGCCTGACGTATGCAGCAGTCAACTCAGGGACTGCTATCACACAGCAGCAGTGTAGTTTCACAGGAGCAGTGGACAAACTTAAAACAAACTTTACACAAAACTCTTACTCTTAAAACACACATACCAGAACGTGGAACCATCAACATCTCGTCTCAAATTGCATTAAAAGTGACATTCGTGTCTTAATTTGTTCGTATTTAACTTTTAAAGCAATTTGCGGACTACATGTCCGCCATCCTGGTTTGCTTCGGCTGCCGTGAGACGTGCTTGCGCAGGTTTGCATTACATCATTAACAGCTGAGCCAGATCATCTCGACGGGCAGACCAAACCATGATGGCAAAACATTCCGGAACACATGAATTTATCTTATGAAGCTTTGAGCTGAGTTGAACCCAGTATTTGGACTCCTTGGAGGCTTTAAAGAGGCATTTTTTTACAGCAGTAAAAGATAGAAAGATATACATATATTTACAGATCAGGCATTAGGGAAAGACTTTATAAACCTAACAGCATGAACAGGAATAGGAATCAGCATGTATGTGCGTGTAGTGCACGATTTGCAGATTTCCAAGAATGGGGAATTGAGCAGGACCTTCAAGAGCAGCTTAAAAGAGCTCAAGATGAACTAAATGTTCGAGATGGACAGATCCGGGCACTGCAGAAGGCCATGGATCAGGTCAAAGATCAGTTGGAGGCAGTGAAGACCGGTAGGGGCCGTTCTTTGCGTTTGGCCCAGGAGCGAGTGGGACAGTGGAAGGAAGCCCAACGGCAGAAGAAGCTCCAATTAACAAAAAAATCTCATCAGATACGTCTGGATCTGCCAATACTACTGGAGACAGGGGGCAACAATGAACTGAAGACTCGAGATGAACTGATCCAGGAACTGCAGAAGGAAGTGACTGAGGTCAGAGATCAGTTGGAGGCAGTTGACACCAGTCGGAGGCGTTCTTTGAGTTTTGCGCGGGAGCGAGTGGAGCAGTGGAAGAAAGCCCAACGACAGAAGCAGCTCCAGTTAGCAGAGAAAGCTTGTCAGATAACTCCGGATCAGTCAATGCTATTAGAGACAGAGGGCGACAATGAACTGAAAGCTAGAGATGAACGGATCCGGGCACTGCAGAAGACCATGGATCAGGTCAAAGATCAGTTGGAGGCAGTGGAAACAAGTAGGAAACGTTCTTTGCATTTGGCCCAGGAGCGATTGGAGCAGTGGAAGAAAGCCCAACAACAGAAGCAGCTCCAGTTAGCAGAGAAAGCTTGTCATATACCTCTGGATCAGCCAATACTATTAGAGACAGAGGGCGAGATACAACTGACAGCTGGAGATGAACGGATCCGGGCACTGCAGAAGGAAATAACTGAGGTTAATGATCAGTTACAGGCAGTGGAGACCAGTCGGAGGCGTTCTTTAGGTTTGGCTCGGAAACGAGTGGCACAATGGAAGAAAGCCCAAAAACAGAAGCAGTTCCAGTTAGCAGAGAAAGCTTCTCAGATTCCTCTGGATCAGCCAATACTATTAGAGACAGAGGACGAGATACAACTGAAAGCTGGAGATGAACATATCCAGGCACTGCAGAAGGCCATGGATCAGGTCAAAGATCAGTTGGAGGCTGTTGAGACCGGTTGGAGGCGTTCTTTGGGTTTGGCCCGGGGGCGATTGGAGCAATGGAAGAAAGCCCAACGACAGAAATCTTGTCAGATACCTCTGGATCAGCCAATACTATTACAGACAGAGGGCGAGATGCAACTACATGCTAGAGATGAACGGATCCGGGCACTGCAGAAGGAAGTAGCTGAAGCCAAAGATCAGTTACAGGCAGTGGAGACCAGTCGGAGGCGTTCTTTAGGTTTGGCTCGGAAACGAGTGGCACAATGGAAGAAAGCCCAAAAACAGAAGCAGTTCCAGTTAGCAGAGAAAGCTTCTCAGATTCCTCTGGATCAGCCAATACTATTAGAGACAGAGGACGAGATACAACTGAAAGCTGGAGATGAACATATCCAGGCACTGCAGAAGGCCATGGATCAGGTCAAAGATCAGTTGGAGGCTGTTGAGACCGGTTGGAGGCGTTCTTTGGGTTTGGCCCGGGGGCGATTGGAGCAATGGAAGAAAGCCCAACGACAGAAATCTTGTCAGATACCTCTGGATCAGCCAATACTATTACAGACAGAGGGCGAGATGCAACTACATGCTAGAGATGAACGGATCCGGGCACTGCAGAAGGAAGTAGCTGAAGCCAAAGATCAGTTACAGGCAGTGGAGACAAGTCGGAGGCGTTCTTTGGGTTTGGCCCGGGAGCGATTGGAGCAATGGAAGAAAGCCCAACAACAGAAGGAAAGATTGGGCCACCGGTACTACTGGACCTATCAGTACATTTAGAGATAGAGGGCGAGACAGAGATAGAGGGCAAGATAGAGACAGACATAGAGGGCGAGATAGAGACTGAGGTAGGGACAATAGTTTGCGCGTTTGAACATCAATGCGTAGACTGTAGACAGGTGTTCAGGAGGCTCGGAAAGTACTTTATGAGGCTGATAAAAGGAGTAGAGGGCCCTGCTGAGTAGAGTTTTCATGTTCTCCCTGTGCCTGCGTAGATTTCCTCCGGGTACACCATTTTTCCCTTCCAGTAAAAACATGGATAATAGCCCTCCTGAAAAAGAGCACTCGAGCGTACCATTTGCTGAGAGTTTCGGAAAATGGAGCCATGAGGGTTGCCAGGTTGGGTTTGGGTCGTCCACAATAAGCTTTAAGAAGATTTAAAGCAGCAGAATGTACTGGAGAGTTTGTTTGGCTGTTTGTGGTTCAGGAGCTTTGAAGTGGCAACGCAAACACCTGCAGATGTTGCTTTGCTGATTCTACACAAAGTGGCCCTAACACGAGTCTGTGTCTCAGTCCAGACCATGTTGCAGATCAGGGAGGTCCGGCTGGTTCAGAAGGAGGTGTGGCTGAGGTCTCAGTCCAACAGAGCAGGACCAGACCCTCATGGCCCCGGGTCCAGGCTCGACCTGAAGACCTGAGGAAATGAGTGTAGTCTGGAGTGTCTCCTCAGTGGGACCTGTGGAGAACCAGTCCGTCCTCCTGGTATAGATCGTTCAGGGCAAAGCGACAGCCTCAGTTTGCTCGTTTGACTTTGGATCTGTTCTGGCGTGTGAGCTGTAAGAAGGTTCAGATCCGTGTAGTGGATCTAAACTAGACATAAGTCGGCAATTAGGTTTAAAACAATGACGTAGATTTAGAAAAAGGTTATGAGGCGGTTTTTAGGTTTAGACAAATGTTGACTGTACTCATGCACTTGTGTTGGACTGAAGCAGATTCCAAATAAAGAGAATAAGTTACACTATCCACTCAGATTGTTTTTTCTTTTCTACTTCGCAGCTGTGGAGTTTGATCATGGAATTTTGATTACATTCTTTGGTTGCTAACATACTTTAGCAACCAAAGAATGTATGAACCAAAGTATTGCTAACATGCTTTGGTTCATACTTCAGAGCACAGAAAAAACCGCACCGCTTTTAATAATAATGACAATTTCACCATGGAACATAAATGTTTGACTTTTGTTCTATAAATATGTATTTCAGCTTTTATCTGACAAACAATCGACCACTGAACTGGCATCAGTTAGTTTAATTGAATGTAGCTTCAACAATCTATATAAAACTAATTTGACAGGATTTTGTAACTTTTTTTTTATGGTGGTTGCTGTTGTGAAGTGAAGCTAAATGTATTGTAGAGTAGCTTGTAGCTTAGCTCACTACACTACACAATTTCAGAGGATCTTTAGTAATTACATGGTTCCAGTTTTTGTTGTTTGAAAAATGTGATCCATGCAGCTAAATCTAAGTGCTACATTGCAAAATTACGGTAAAGAAAACAATCATCTGCTTTATTTCACAGCCTGCTTCTCAAAGACCTCATGTTTACCACTGCCTCAAGCCCACAGGCCTCACACCAGCACAGTGTGATGTCACAGCATTTTGTCCATCTTTAAAATGGAAAAATGTTGTTTATGTGAAAGTAGTGAGCGAGTGGCAGGACCTCAGCTTTGCATGGATAGATATGGAAACACAAATAGATACATCAGTAGATAGAAACTTTATTGATCCCCACTGGAGAAAGTAGCAGCAGAAAAACATCCATCCAAACAAACAAAACAATAAAAATGAATTACTCAGAGCAAGTCAGGGTCGTATGAACCCTTCTGGGACTGAGACCAAGCCTCCTGCTGGGACTCTAAGAAGCACAGGGACTGTACTCCTGCTGGGACTCTGAGGAGCACAGGGACTGTACTCCTGCTGGGACTCTGAGGAGCACAGGGACTGGCCTCCTGCTGGGACTCTGAGGAGCACAGGGACTGGCCTCCTGCTGGGACTCTGAGGAGCACAGGGACTGGCCTCCTGCTGGTCCCTAGTGTTGGGACTAAACATGAGGAGGCAAGGTTTCAGAATCATGCTGCTAATATTCAATTAAATTCAATTAATTATTTTGACCTAAATCACAGCAGTAGTTTCTTGGAGGACTTTACACAGATCAGAGAAACACATTGGTGTTGGTTCGGAAGGGGCAGATGACCAATGTCAATAAGTGTTGATAAATGTCCATAAATGTTGTTGAATGTTGAGTGCCCTCGAACAGTCTTCCTGAAAGTCTAACCTAGAAAATGCAAGACAGGCTTCTTCTCTGAAAATGTTCAAATGCAGGTTGAAACTGTTCAGCTGCACATACCACTGAAGGATTTTATCTTTTTTCTTTTTCATGTACCGCATCTTGTTTTGCTAATGTCATTATCTATTCTGATGCCTTGTACTGTTTCTATTTAGTGTTAGGCAGTTTAAAGGAATACAGGAGGGTGTTTTTCTTCTGGGTGGATCATCAAGACTATTGGTTCTCCTGCTTAGTAACTGTTTGAGTCACACATTTTGGGGCTTTGACTATTTGGGTTGCAAGGTGATTGACTGAGTGACTTTGAGGGTGTTTTTCACTTGTAGGTTTTGAAAAAGTCTATCTAAAGACGTGGCCAAAATAAATGCATGTCGGAACGCATTGTACAACCAAACATTATTTATAAATATTTTTTTTTGCAGTTTGAAAGTTAGGTACCCCAGCTTTAATTTACATAAAGATCAAATGGAATAAAAGAAAGAATAAAGAAGAAGGTATTGTTTCTGAATACAACCAGATTATCCCTGCATCATTTCTCTCAGGCTTTTAATAGGACGCCTACTTTGCTCGTGGGTCCTGGTTTACCCGGAAGTGTAGTTTTCACGTGGGCTTGTTTTGCTTCGACTGATGTCTGACAGCTCTGCAATTCTGAATGAATGAAACCCGCTGTACACAGACTGTTCCCGGGACATTATAGCGGACACAGGACACAGGACAACATGAGGGTGGTCGCGTTGATAAGGTGCAGGCTAATTTTAACTAACGCTAAGCTAACTATTTTTTAGCTTTATGAGTTTTTTGGGAGCACTATGAGAGAATGTGTTTGCTCATAACAAGTCCCTCTTGTTAATAATCTGTGAAGGAGTAATTGTGTAGTACAAATATATCAGCATGCACACATCTATTGAATAAAGTCTTATATTTTATGGCTGAAATATCGTTCACTGTTTAATGTTTGCACTATAATAAAGGTAGTAAGTACGAACTATATTTTTCCATTTATGTAACTATCACTCAAGAATTTTGGACAAAGTATGCTCTTTTAAAGCTGGGGCTGTTAACTTTACATTACTGTTCTAACAGAGTCTTCTAAAAGTACAATTAGCGTTATATTGACTCATCTTCCTACCACTGTTGTTCACACAATGTCTGATACTCCTGTAAGTGGGATAAAAGAATGAACGGATAGATTATTACAAATACAGGAATGAATGGTAAATAATAAGTAAAGAGCCCTGTGAGTCTCTAGTTGACGTTTGGGCTGAGAGCAGCTGAGTCACGGTGGTCCTCTTTTTAACTTTTCTATCTTAAAAAGCTGAATTAAATTTGTGACAAGTGTGAAAACTAGCTTGAGAACCAATCTTTTCTAAGCTCTTTTATTTGATTTAGAGTAGATGCAATCTAAAAATATGAAATTTGGTTTTGCTAGAAGCATGCACATTTGTGTTACATATAATAACTGAAATTGCTTTCACTATGCTATACTCGCACTGTAATCATACTAAAATAGGAAATCACATAAGCATTTAGGGAAAAGTTTGATAGCAGTTGTAGCAGTTATAGCTGCGTGTAGCGTACTCTGACATTGTAAAACAATACTTACAATATCAGTGTGATCATATATTCATTTAAGATCAGGAATCTTAAATTCCACAATAATCATTAATTAATTCAAGAGTTTTTAAACCTGTTGCTTGTACACAAGGGAATCCTGTTCTCCCAGACTGCATCAGTTCGTATTGAGAGTGGGTTTCTAATGATTATCTGAGCCGGTCTCACTGCTGATCACTCAGACATATATTGTTCTTAGTAGCTGTGGTGATAGGTACGGTATAGGAGTGTAAAGCACAATGGAGCATGCAGATTTTGTGTCTCCAGCTGGTGAACACACAGTAATATAGGTCCCATATAAACCTCATAACACGTGTGAATATCTAATGTAATCCCTCTTGTGCTCTGTTCCAGCGGGGGCAAGGACAGCTGCTACAACATGATGCAGTGCACACAGGCTGGACATCAGCTGGTGGCTCTGGCCAACCTGCGCCCACAGCACACAGGTGAGGACGTGTAAGTGTGGACTGTATGCCCCAGATCGCACTAATTCAGGTTATCCAAGTCTTAAGATAAGTTCAGGTTTTTGCGTGTTGGGCTGGTTTTGACTTGACCTTTGTGCTTGAGATTACAGGTCGTCTCTGTTTTCTAGTCTCTGTTTTCTAGTCTCACTCTGTGTTGCCTCTTACGCACTGGGCTGGTAGGTTGACGCAAACTCTGAATTTGACTCGACGTGCAACATAGTCTTTTTTAGATAACGTCTCAACAATAACAAATATAGTGGTCATTTAGACTGCAACAAAAAACAATTAAGTTGCTTAAGTGGGTCAGGGGAAGAAGACTAAACACAAATCACCTGAGGTATAAGACTGCATGACAGAAGCATGCAGTAAATTAAGCCCTAACCATCAAAGTTTGGCCAAAGTTAGCACCCACTGCTTTTACCTTTTTTGTAGTAGTCTTTTTACAACATATGTTTTATATTTATTTTATTGCTCCACATAGATGATGAACTTGGTGTAGTCCATTAGAATGTGATTCCCTAGGATGCACACATTTCTAAGCCAGAAGTTTGTTTGTAGCCCTTTATTTTGACCTGTTTTCACAGTGGTGAAAAGCTAAGATGGGTCAAAACAACACACCAACTTTCCCACTGTTGTCTGTTGAACTGTGGCATCTCTATACTGGTCAACAAACATGGGTCTGCAGTGTATAAAGGTCAAAACCTCAAGTATCAGCTCTGGTCCCATCATTTCACATCTATTGGTTGGAGGGAGGACAGATTAGGATGGCAGGAAATTTAAAATGTAAATATTAACAGGAACAAGAAAAATCATTCTCCTAAATGCTGAGTTGACTACGTGATAAACCACAGTATTAATGAGGGCAACAGCTCAAGTTGGCATCAGATGTTTCCTCTTCATTGGCGACCTATTTTCTTATTGACTATATTATATTGTCAATTCATAATGGATCAAGGATCAGTCGAACCAAAGGTAAGTAAAACAAAATAACTCTATGAGTCACACATGAGCTGTATTAACAAGTTTAAGATACAGGCTTCTAACAATGTTAAAATACAGGTTTAAAACAGTTCTATTTAACTGTGCACACAACAGAAGGATTTATCTTCAATGTACTGTGATTATTTATATATTTAAATGCCTTTTGTGATGTTTTTTTAAGCACTTAGAGTTGTGTATGGACTGTGCTATACAAATATACTTGCCTTGCCTATTCCGGGCGCCACTATGGTATACATAGTTCCCACAGACCAATGAATGTCACATGACCTCCTCGGAGACGCCATCTTTGATGGCACACTGCTGTGTTTGTGCATTCCATTAAACAGAAGAATGAGAATAAATGTAGATATTCAAACGCAAATTGGAAAAAAAGGGGCAACTTTTGAGCAAATAATTGTATATTAATACAATGGCACCACAGTTTAACGTGCTACGGACATGTTTTACATATTTGATCAAATTATGCAGCAAAAATTAACAAGCAATGCAAACATTTCTCAAAAACTTTAGATTTAATACCAGTTGGAGCTCCATTTAATTATTTTAATTATATTAACAATTAATTTAATTAATGCTAATGCCACACGGACACTCTGGATTGCTGTTATTGTTTATTTCCGCGTTTTTGACCGTATGTTTTGGTGAATGGTGGGCAACTGATTTTTCCAGGCGTAAAGAGCAGTTTATTTTATGACACAGATCTTTTTACAGAAGCAATGCTGTTTGTGAACATTGTTTTAGCCCACCATAGAACTATTATTATCTATTTAATACATTTACGTTGCCCTCGAGAGCCTCGGACGCGACACCGATCCTCCTCATAATAAAGTAATCTAAATAATGAAACTCTCAAGTTACCAGCTATCAGCATACACAAGTTAGTACTGAGTAAATTACGTCTGTCAACACATTATAAGATACGATACGCACCTGACACAAAGTGCTCCGAGCATATTCTTGCGTGTTTTGAGGGAGTTTCTTGCCTGTTTATCTTCGCAAGCCATAACCTCCGTGGTTGTTCTGACAAAAGCTTAGTCTTCTCACATTTATGAAGTCTAATGATGGGTATACTGTAAAATCCAAGTTTAACGGAACCTCCGGCACGATTTGAACATCCATTGACCCAGCAGGAGATGACCATTTTCAACTTTATCACGACATTAACACGTTTCAGCTTCTTTTTCTATTGTTTTGCCCACAGAATGCCAACACAAATGGCGCCGGGTCGGCAAATCCCCGTATGTAGTGACGTCATGTGGGAACTATGTATAGTGGTTACAGTGCTCGCTGTTGTACTGTCTGCATGGGCTTCCTGCGGGTGATCTGATGACCCCTACCACAAGAACATGTACAATAGACATTCAATCGGAAATCACTGCAGGATTATCCTTGCCTATTCTTACTCTGAAAGTTACAAGTTTTAAAGTCAATACGGGGGAGCGACCTTGTATACAGTATACAACTCTTCTCCTTATGCTCCTCTCTCACAAGCCGTAGGAAAAGTTACGCTCACATGTAGGTCACCCAGCTGCTCGGGACCCCTCGCACTTGTGTCAGCACTTCTGGACCGTCCTGACCGCTCTCGCCTGCTGCACGACTCTCATCCCAGGCATTGTTCCGCAGGCGAAGCCCCATGCATCAGCCTCAGTCCTCTCCTTCCCTTTGACACATCTGGGTAGAACACAATCCGCTCTCCTTCAGCCGGAATCATCAATAAAATTAGCTACGTTATTATTTACCCTCGACAAGTTGATGAATGCTGTTTACTTGTTTGGTGTTGGATGGTAGTTTCAATGCCCTGGTGATAATGTATGTATGGGCTAATTCTGAAGTGGTTTGCATGTTTTTGGTGAATCTTGCATCATAATCAGGTGGGAGAGTTTGTTGTTGAAGCAGCTTCAAACTCATTTTTTTTTTTAATGCCCCACTTTTTTACCAAATGTCTCACAGGAAGTTTATATATATTTAAACAGTGCTAAAGATAAATGTTGCAATATCCATTTTTCTATTTTGGCTCTGTTCAGACTGATGCCCCTGCAACCTGGCAATAGAAAAAGCGGAAGAAAACGGATGCATCAGAATTAGCCGAGATTCTGTTTTTCATCTGCAGTCCCTGGACAGGTGTACATAATCTCCCTGAAGATAATAACATTCAAAAGTCATTACAATAATAAAATGCATACATCACACAATAAAAGCACAAATATACAGCGGTTCCGACCGGAAAACAGTTTTAACAGATGTTTTTCGAACGCTAAGTTTGTTGTAAATTCTCTGTACTCTCTTTTGTTTGCTGGGGATGTAGAGGAGGTGTGAGGTATAGAAGTAAAAGGCCTGCACACAAGTCCCTATTTGTGTATTCCGGGTGCTCAATGGACTCCCTTCCTTCTGTTCTGAAGTCTTGTCTCTGACTTGCCTCTGTTGTGGCAGATGAGCTGGACAGTTACATGTACCAGACCGTGGGACACCAGGCTATAGAGCTGTACGCCGAGGCCATGGACCTGCCGCTCTACAGACGCACCATCCAGGGCTGCAGTCTTGACACGAGCCGGGACTACAACCAGACCCCGGGGGACGAGGTGGAGGACCTGTACGAGCTGCTCCTCTCTGTCCAGGTAAGCATACATCTACTTTCTTTTAGTACAAACGCTTTTTGTCATTACAGCCTTCTGTGGGTGGACTCATAAACTTCGAATGCATAGATTTTTATATCATTGTGGCTTTTATAAATTAACTTTTTTGTGCTGTTTCCCGTAACAGTTTGTTTTAGTTGTTCTCATCTTTTTTATTTACTTTCTAAAGCCCAAAAGTAAAGTACTACATTGTATTGCTCCAAAGTTTAACATGGCAAAGTTGGGGGAAGGTGCCCTTGGACATGCGGCTTCACAGGGACAAACCCATTCTCTTTTTCATCTCCGCTGACAGAAGATCAGATGCAAAAATTAATCAGCAAATTAATATTTCATCAAACAGCACTTTTTGAACAGGTCGTTGAGGAAATATTCATTTGATGGAGAATTATACATGTATGAGGGCGCAGGGGTGGGCTGCTGTGTGGGGGGCTGACCCATCGCCTACAGCCATCCGCCAAACACACACAGGCAGCAGAGAGTACTGTTGTCCGCACAGACTACTTTTAATGAACATGGGAAGTTACAGGTAATCTCCTCTGATTCTGCTTCTTTTGTTATGATCTGTCCTTGATTTGCTCCAGTGTAGACCTCTGAAAGGCATGTGTGGGTCTTTTGGATACTTTTCATCCAAACAATCCTAAGATCACCTTGTTTGCACCAAGAGCCAAAGCATTTTCCAAGTTTGTGACTTCTTGTTTCTCTCATGGCAATAAAATAGTTCTGATTCTGATTCTTAAACATGTCTATGGGACAATGACTACTAACTTACTGTCTTACTTGGTTTCATGTTGCATATCACCCTTCCAGCTCAAGTCGAGGCTGTTCTTGTGCTTGGGCAGACAATGGTGCAATACACAGAAGTACGTCTCTCTTTACAGTGTTTGCCAAAAAGATCATTTTGTGTATCAGTGCTTTATTGCAAAAGATCATTATAATTGATCATTATTGAGACATATTGATCGGAGCTTTTCCTTTTTGGCCCCTCGCAGCGCTGTCTGGACGGTGAGCAGTCAGCTTGAGTTAGCAGCTTTGTTCCGCCTCCAGGTATAGCCCCGCGGAGGGGTGATGATCAGAGGGTGAGGGAGGTGATCCGGGGGCCCTCATGTGTCCGCCAGGGGCCGGGCAGACGCTTCAGGCCAGTGCGAGCCTCAGGAGTCTTGTGGTCTGTGGATGGGGAGTGAAAACAGTGGTCTTTTGTTTTAATGAACACATTTGATGCATTATTTAGGTTGGCCTTGACCCTCAAACATGATCTTGATAAGAATCCTCTTTCACGCCCCCTCATTTCATGTCCTGGTGTCACATCACTTCCGGTGTTAAGTCTGTGGCAAGATCTGACTTTTTGAACTAATTAAAACTCCAGCAGTTTTGTTAGGAACAAAATAAAACCTTGAATATAAATGAAGCGATTACCTTATACACTTTGGGAAATTCTAATCTTTAGTACAACCATTATTTTCTAGTAGAAATAAAAGATTGAAAAGACGTTAAATATATATACGTTATATAATTTATAAACGCCTGAATTAAGCAGTGTTTATCATAACATTCTTGAGTCAGACTAATCTGGAATGAGAAAGTAATGTTTCAGACCAAGAAGATACTTCAAGTCCATTGATCAAGCGAAATGACCCCAAACTTAAGTGACTTTTTGTCTGTGTGCAATTGTCTAATAGCGACCACTAAAATTGCATTTTTGATTTGAATGTAATACATTTTGCAACTCTTATTCAAAATGTTCACCTCTCAAGCTTGTGCACAATTCTCCAGATTACAAGGTTTAAAGTCCACAAAGTATGTAAAAATGTAGTGTTTTTACTTTAACATCATTAACTTTTCAAATGCTGAAAGTCAACACCCAGCCTCCCATTCATCCAGGCCTGGACAATTACACCAAGGTGCCCACTTCCCACAGGCCTCCCTCTGGTGGGGCCACACACATGCACACGCACAAATACACACACACACACACACATATACAAACCCACATACGCACTTTCACAGCGTCTATGTGTCGTCCCAATGTTTACCTCGTCAGCCAGACCCATAAACAAGCACTTCCTCCCAGCGCAGGTTAACCTCTCCTGGAGCAGGGCTAATCACCAGAGCTAACCCAGCCAGCCATTAGTCTGAGCGGGTTCCCACGCACCAGCCCCAGTCCCCGACCCGGCATCTAGCTCTGCGCGTTCATCCTATTCGAGCATTCTGCCAGAAAGTATATTTGAGGAATAGAACATGCAAAATGAGCAATATGTTGTCTATGGACATCTATGGATGTTCTGTGTTCTGTGTTTTATGGTACTTGATCCATTACAAGCCTGAAATTCTTAAAAACAAAGTAACACAGATTTCCTAATACCGATCTAATCAATAGTTTAATTACAGAGTGATTCTACAGAGCTGGTTTGGTACATTTCACAGGCAGTGTTTTTTTCATCATGTTATTTATGCTTGAGGCCTGTAAAAAGACGAGATCACCTGATTTTGGATTTTGGTTGTTAATATTATTGTATGTTCACGACAGATATGTATTTGTATCTGAGCCAAGTTTCTGTGTTTTATCGGAATAGATAAATTATGTTCTATTCTCCAAGCACATGGGACATTTGCATTTATTTTGAGTAAGAGCTGACTAGAAAGCCATAGAGAGAGGCAAATCAGTTTTTGATAGATGTTGGTATAAATACAACTGGCATGGACAAAAAGAGGGCACACATTTGACTGGGCACAACATCATTTGACTGTATACAAAGGCTATGACTTATCCATGACTTCATAGTCTGAGGATTCAATATTGCACAATGAGACAATGACAATTTGGACAGAAGGGGTGGGGGGATGCATTTGGGGGGCGCGATTTTCTCCTCAAAGCAAAAACCGAAAGGATGAGAAAGAGTTTTTTTCCCTCAAGCCATAAGACGATTAAACCTACAACTCTGTGTATCTATTTTTTTTAGTTAAGTTGAAAACACTAAACTATGACTTTTCTGCTGGAGGAATTTTACTGTATTTAATGGGCCTGCGACACTAATACATTTAAATTTGAACTTGAACTTGAAGCGTTAGTGGAGTCAAAATACTTAGTTTTCAATGAGGTATTTGGTTTGGCATCATATTTGTTCTGTGGGTGACCTTGGTCTGTAAAATGCGCTATAAAGCACCTAGGATTATAGCACCTTGATTCCTCCTATGTTTGCACTGTTATTATTATTATTATTATTATTATTATTATTATTATTACTATTCTCTTTCTTTCTCCCCTCTCTCACTACCAGTCAATAAAAGAAAACCTTCAACACCCTCAGATACCTACTCAATACACCAAAAGTGAACACACACACACACACACACACGCACACGCACGCACGCACACGCTGAATCCCCCCTTTTCTCCCTCCTGACCCTATGTAAATGCCCATGTGCTTATATGTGTTCATACAAATATGTCTTAATGTACAAATGTGTTTATAATGTTCATGGTGTAATATATTGTGTATGCCAATAAAAAATAATAGTAATAAAAATAAAAATAAAGTGCGCTATAAAAATAAACATTACTTACTTACTTATTTTGGTTTTAGAATGTCCCCCAAATTGGGATCATGGGATGCTGATATAAGGTGTTTCTAAAATTGTAGACTATGCACAGTAGCACTTGGAAAGTCTTCCAGCTATGCCCTATCACTCCTGAACACTCCCTCATTATGCCATTTAAAAAAAGACTTTCCACACCTATCAGTTTATTGTTGATGGCTGTGCGTAAGAACATAAAAATAAATAAAGAACAACAGCATTTAAAAACAAGCCTTTGATAATGAGCCGTTACATCCTCGCTACGGGAAAAGAACGCTTTGTGCTTTGGAGATGGTGTGACTACTTTTTTCCCCCCTATTCTTTTGAGCACGTTGAATTAATTAGAAGTTACAAGATTATATTTGGCAAATGACACTCCGGTAGAGATGAAGGCAGGTTTTTTCCCTCTCCTCACATCACCACTTGATGAGTTTGAAGAGTTATTCTGGCTTTTCTCTCCTCCTCCTCTTCCCAACAGAGCTGTGGTAGTAAGGGTAAGCCAACAGTGCCATCTATGGGTGTGTCTGAGGCCTGAGAACAGGACTCGGCTCCCATGGAAGCTGATGGGAAGTGGGAGATGTCAAAAAAAGAATGTCTTCTTTTTGAAAGCGTTGGTTAAAATTACAAACATTTATTCTCAAACATGTTAAGGAAATAGCCGCTTAAGTTTGAGGCAAACATTTTTTGCCGTCTGTTTTATTCAACGATTCATTCAGAGCAATGAGACTGAGAGGAGTGGGGGGACACGTTTGAGCCAGAAGTTCCTGATATCTGGGTGGATGCAGCTAAAACAACTCTAGGACTGGTTCTGAACAATGTCGTAACACAGATATAAAATTCCCTATAAGATTTTGCATATTCTAGATAGAAATTAAAATCTAAGAAATTCCAATTTATTCCCGATTTGAAATAGTCTAGAAATGCATGTTCAGAGTGTAACAAGCATTAATTGACTTGGGAGGTTTTTTTTACATGTTTTAGTGGTTGGGGAAACCAGGGCGCCACAGAGGAAACCTATGCATACACAGGGAGAACATGCAAACTAAACACTAAACACGAAATTCCTGGTCTAGATGGGGACTTGAAGTCAGGACTTTCTTGCTCTGAAGCACAAACGCTGACGCCTGCTTCACTGTGCTGCCCTTAAAATGCTGATTTCAAAATATAAATGTTATGTTTGGAGATGGACGTCTTTGTTTATTTACACTACTTGAATGATTTTTGTTTGGTGAAATCTCTTGGGCTACCAACCACCAAGGTGGTTGGTAGCCTCCATGGTGGCAAGGCTCCGGGTGTGGATGAGATCCGCCCTGATTATCTAAAGTCTCTGGATGTTGTAGGACTGTCTTGGCTGACACGTCTCTGCAACATCGCGTGGCGATCGGGGGCGGTGCCAATGGAGTGGCAGACCGGGGTGGTGGTCCCTCTCTATAAGAAGGGGGACCGGAGGGTGTGTTCCAATTATCGTGGGATCACACTCCTCAGCCTCCCCGGTAAGGTCTACTCCAAGGTACTGGAGAGGAGGCTACGGCCGATGGTCGAATCTCGGATCCAGGAGGAGCAGTGTGGTTTTTCGTCCCGGTCGCGGAACACTGGACCAGCTCTATACTCTCCATCGGATACTCGAGGGTTCATGGGAGTTCGCCCAACCTGTCCACATGTGCTTTGTGGATTTGGAGAAGGCGTTCGACTGTGTTCCCCGGGGTGTCCTTTGGGGGGTTCTCCGGGAGTACGGGGTCGGGGGTCCTCTGCTGAGGGCCATCCGGTCCCTGTATGACCGGAGCCAGAGCTGTGTTCGCATTGCCGGCAGTAAGTCAGACCTGTTCCCGGTGAATGTTGGCCTCCGACAGGGCTGCCCTTTGTCACCGGTTCTGTTCACTGTATTTATGGACAGAATATCTAGGCGCAGCCAGGGGTCGGAGGGGGTCCGGTTCGGGGACCACAGGATTTCATCTCTGCTGTTTGCGGACGATGTTGTCCTGTTGGCTCCAACGAACCAGGACCTGCAGCATTCACTGGGACGGTTTGCAGCCGAGTGTGAAGCGGCTGGGATGAGAATCAGCACCTCCAAATCTGAGGCCATGGTGCTCGACCGGAAAAAGGTGCCCTGCCCTCTTCAGGTGGGTGGAGAGGTCCTTCCTCAAGTGGAGGAGTTCAAGTATCTCGGGGTCTTGTTCACGAGTGAGGGAAGAATGGAGCGTGAGATTGACAGGCGGATCGGTGCAGCGTGCGCAGTGATGCGGTCGCTGTATCGGACCGTTGTGGTAAAGAGGGAGCTGAGCCGAAAGGCAAAGCTCTCGATTTACCGGTCAATCTTCGTTCCCTCCCTCACCTATGGTCATGAGCTTTGGGTAATGACCGAAAGAACGAGATCGCGGATACAAGCGGTCGAAATGAGCTTCCTCCGCAGAGTGGCTGGGCGCTCCCTTAGAGATAGGGTGAGGAGCTCAGTCACACGGGAGGAGCTCGGAGTAGAGCCGCTGCTTCTCCACGTCGAGAGGAACCAGTTGAGGTGGCTCGGGCATCTGTTCCGGATGCCTCCTGGACGCCTCCCTGGGGAGGTGTTCCGGGCACGTCCCACCGGGAGGAGGCCCCGCGGAAGACCTAG